CAGCCAGAGAAAAGGGAGACGCCTCTACAACCTGCCCTCGCTCATTTTACTGAGCCTTTAGCTGATCCAGAGCTCGCTGTAGTTCCTCAATTTAAGGCAACTGAGCCATCTGGGGATTGCTCTCCCCAGTGCGAGTTCGACCCTAGCGGTTGCGGTTGAGGAAAGTCCAAAGGTCGGATTCCTCCTCGCCTCAGCCGGCAGTTCCGGCCACTCTTGACACACGCTGGTTAGAGTCGTGCGATGGCGCTAAATGGTCCGGGGAACCTTCCCGACCTCCACAATGGTGTGAATCAACCCACGAACGGTGGGAACTTCCGACGCGATGATGATCGGAGTCGTCATTTTGGCGATAATGGGAATCTCCCAGCCTTGCACTTTTGTGGGAGTGCTCTCGCGACGTGGCATGGGACAGCTCGGGCCATGACATGTCATCGAGTCTTTGTGCAACGGGTTTTCTACCTGGGGTGCGATCGGTGTTCGCTGGTCCCTCAGAGCCTCTAGGCCCATTGTTCGCCACCTGCTTTCCCTTTCTTTGACACACTGCAGTGCGCGCGACATGGGCTATCGCCTTTTTTCACGCTTTCACGCTACCTGTAGGCGTTTTTTGCGGTGGCACCACCTCATTTGATTCGGGTGGCACGATCCGATCCAAGCGGTCTAGCCTTTGGTTGACCGTTTGGAGAGTATTGTTGAACCTCTCCAAGTAGCTCATGACGGCTGGATCAAGCCGTGAGCTCGAAGAGATATCCCCCACGAGATTTTGCAGGACTAGGGGCACTTCAGAAGAAGTGTCCTCTTGTACCTAGGGGATCTTTTCCTCACCATGATTGGTTTTCTTAGGTTCGAATTGGCGAGCCATTTGCTGTTGGTGGGACCGGTTAGTCAGAGATTCTCCTGATAAAGGACGAATACTAAATTAGGCCCTCCTTCTAGCGCCAAACTGTTGATGCGTGATTTTGACACCAACTAAACGCATGTGAGAAATGCTGAGCTGACTCAGAAGACACACGTGAACGGGGGCATTGAACTAAAGAGAAGAAGAAGAACAGTGTTTAAAGTGGTTCAGATGCTTAAGAAAGCAAATCCTACGTCCACTGGTATCGTATTAATATATTTGAAATCAGGTTACGTTCAGCGAGCTGGCTTACAAGAGGTTACAAGAGAGAGAGGGAGAGTATATATGCTATTCCAAATAGAAGTTAGTTAATCCCACAAACGGGAGAGGATCCCTCTATTTATAGTGGGATGAATTGAGGTAATGATTACTAAATCAGGGAGTGAGTCAGATTGTCATGCAAATCCTTCCTTGTGTCCCGTTGTTCACCTGCTCAAGTGATTTACTTGACATTTGCAGGGATTGGACACATGGATCTTCTCCAGCCTTTCACCAGCCTGGCGCACACCCACTGCACTGGCAGGAGCATGCCGCTTGCGTCAGCGTGCGACATGGCTGCGTCTGAATGGCTGCAGGACTTACCTAAGCTCTAACCGCTTACGCTGACAGGGCCCTGCGTCAGCCCTACTTTTCCAGGCATAACACGTATATATGATGTTCTCTGTTTTGTTTATTTGATGTTACATACGGCCAATTCTTTTGGGACTAATCTCATTAATTAAGTTCTTCTTTTGCCTTAGGCCAAGGATTCCTCAAGGACTACGAAGAGAGTCTTTCAAGATCATAGAGCCCCTTGCTTCAAGACGTCAGAAACACAGTTTTAATATTCGGAGGAATAATTTAAAACCCTTTAATTGTTTCCATATCCTTTTGGATAATCACTAATATCAATGCGGAAGTGTTTTTAAACCAAATAAAAGTGCATTTCATCAAAAAGAACCATACGATCACAAAATAAATGGAACAAAAAATAATGTGCAAACTATGTCTTACTTGCAAGTATGTAATACCCCGTCAAAGATCACCTTGTGAGATAGAACTTAAAGTTGATAGAGCCTGCAATAACGTATTTCATATAAGGATCAATCTGAAAAACTGAAACTGATACAAGAAAACACTGACAAGCTATAAGTGTTTTGATCCACACCTCTGCATCCAATTGAGTCCGTCCTTAAGATAAACAATATTAGGTTTGTCATAATCTCCTTGAAGCAAGGGGCTCTATGATCTTATCAAACACAATACTGTGAGAAATGGTTAAAAAACACGATATTCTCCAGAATATTATGAAAAATACATGTATGTTGTTACTTTATATTAGATTAGAAAGTTGTATGAATACATATGCATGGCTGTTGTTTCCAAGAAAAATGATTTTGGTAATTAAGATGTATATAGGAAATGTTTATCTTGAAACACCTTTCACATTATTTTTCGTGGCATTTTCCATAAGATGACATTATGGTTCAGATATGGTGGTCTTTGATTGTTAGGTTTGTACGTAAATTTCTTATTCTTACCATAACTGCTAATCAAAATATTAAATGTAGCCACATCAGGCTTAACTTTATTCTTCAACATGCTGTCATAAAACTCCAGAGCTCTATTATACTCCCCATATTTTACAAAACCATTTATTAAAGCATTATACGTACTCACACTGGATATGATATCCCATCAATCAACTTCCTCATAGTTTCAAAGGCCATAACCCCATCATCCAATCTCTTAGCTTTACAAAACGCATTGATTGCAACAAGAAATATAGATTCAATTTGAAGACAAGAGAAACTACCATCATCAGAACAGGGGCAAGGATTAGTGGAGATAAATGCGAGAAGGGATTGAACTTCAGAGAAGCTATAAGAAGAGGCAAGGGAGCAGACCATGAAAAAAAAAGGTGGCATGATCATGGCGGAAGGAATCAAATGTGAAAGTCATGATGCGTGAAGCGAGGTTGGTGGTGCAGCTTGGAGTGAGGCAGGAGTTATGTGGTTGTTATGAGGGGTTAAAAAATGGCTTTTGATGAAGGAAGTGGAGTTAATTGTTGATTTGGCAGTGGATTGGAAGCAATAGTGTTGGCCTCAGATTGGTGGTACTTTCTTCCTCAAAACAATTTTGAAAGAGAAAGCCAATGGACCTGGGGATAAGTTTCAATCAGCGTCAAAGGATTGCATTAGTCATCAAAAACCATCCCCTGCAATTATTAAGTTGTTAAGAAAACACATTTCCATATATCATATGTGGATGTATGATACACAATAGGGCATAGGAAAATCAATTAGACTAAGTAGAATAGAAGAAGAACAAGCTGAAGATTGTTGACCATAGTTAAAACCTTTAATTCAGACAGCCTTAATCTCAAGCTGATGTTATTGGAGAAAATAGAAATCTGATAGTGTTTGTTTTTCATTTGCTAGTGATCAAGGACAACATTTTCAATATTAGTAAAAGGGTCCTCAAAGCTAACAGGTATTAGATAACCCTAAACAGACAATACTCCAAACACATCAAACAAACTTTTTTTTTTTTGTTCAATCGTTCATTAACTATGAACTTAGAATTCCACATATCAAATTCATTCAACAATTTTGATATTCAATTCAACATTTAATTAACAATCTAAAACATACTATGTTTAGTTACTAATTAAGTATATATGAATTTGTCCAATTAATTAAGATATAAGCAATCAAACACATTATCCACAATGCACACGTAGGAAGAAACATCATAGAGAAATATATGGTGATACTATTTGAAATGTGTAAAATTATTCTTATTTAACAAATGTTGCATCACAAGGCTAAGATGGTGTGGCTTTAGAATGAGAATAGGCATAGGAAGATGTTTTTGTATGTAACAAAGGTTGGTTAATTAGGTTTTCAATTATGTATAGCTTTATTAGAATCTTATACCAAAGGAAAGTGTTTCTTACAATTATTGACTTTCAAAAGATGAGTAACCCTTGTCTCATTGCAATTATAAAGTTCTCTTTTGGTCTTAAGTTTAATGTTTTGAGTTTTCAATAAGCCTAGGTATTTATTTTACTTAAAACATTAATTAAACATAAACATAAATAATAATCATACATAATTTCTAAAAACAAAAATTGAAAATAATGATTTCTTTTGGTGCTACTTTTAATAATTTCTAAATTTATGTAAAACATTTAGATTAATGTATTATTAACAATATTAAACTTAATGATAACAAAAAAAGCATATAATAATCTCAAAGGAAATAAGGTAAAATAAATAATCACATAATTTGAGTGCAAAATTGGGGAGCTCTAAGACTGTTAATCAAATTTTACAAGAAGAAGAAGAGAGCTGACCGTTGTGTGGCGCTTCGGAAACAATACCCAATTCACTCTTCCTTCATTTTCAATTCCCATTTCCCATTTCCTTCAATTTTTTCAAATTCTCTTTGGAGCATTTAATCAAACACTTTCATCCTTTTCTATTTAATTTCAGTTTCTATATATATGCACCTCTAATTCAAGCTGCTTTAACATCTCTTGGACTCCCAAGATCTTCTTCTTCTTCAATCCTTCTTTACTTTGTCTGGTGCGTTCTCAGCATTTCTCTGTTACTTCTTTTTTTTCTTTTTGGGGGGGCATATTTTCATGTTCTTTTTACACGTAAATTTATAGTCTTGTTTTCTTTTCTTGCTTTTTGGGCTTGTTTCTCATCTGGGTATGTTTCAAAATTTTATCTTTATGATTTATATTTATATATATAAAATTTGTGTTCTGCATATTGATCCTGATGATTTTATAAGATAGTAATCGTGATTTGTAGATCATACTACTGTAGTTTCCGGAAATTTTTTCACTTTGCTTGATGTTAATTTGAAACTTTTTTTTTCAAATTTGTTTTCCGGAATCAATTTCTTTTGATGATGATATGTGCAGATTATGCTCCGTCATTCTGTGGTTTGTGCAAATTCGGGATATGCTGTGTTTACAGTTTTTGTAGAACAATGTACTTAAATTTAGTTTCAGCGTTTGGGTTTATGCAACTAGTGTATCTTCCTCAAATATAGATTTGTTTTTAGATTGAACTTGTTTGTACGTCTATTTGGTGAGTTGAGGTCCTGGCTTGATTGTTGTGTTTTGTGTAGTTCAGCGTCAGGGCTATTTCACCTTATGAACAGTATGCGAGATGAGAAAGAGGAAAATATGCGTCAAACTGGGAAGAAAGTTGCAATCCGTGCAGAATCTAGCAAATCCTGTTTTTCCAAGAGAGATACAGAATCTAGCAAATCCTGTTTTTCCAAGAGAGATACAGAATCAGAACTCATTGCATCATGGAAGCTAAAGAAAGGCAGCAAAATATCGAAGGTTGAAAAGCACAAATCTAAATCTCATGTAAAGACAACCAAGTCAACCCTGATAAAAAAGAAATTTCCTGAGTCTCCAAGCAAGGGAACAGGGAATGACTCTGGAAGCAAAAAATCCATTAGTAGAAAACTTCTGCATAAAAAGCTCGATAAAATCTCTTCCAAGAAGCTTGCATCTTTGAAGCTTCAAGGTAAAAGTTCCTCACTTGTTAATTCTAAGGGGCATGGAAAAGTAATTAATGGTGATGCTGAAACAAAGAATCAAACGAAGAAGAAGAAGAGGCAAAAGGAGAAGGTGGAGCAAGATGAAGCCTCACGCTTGCAGAGGAGAACAAGGTACCTATTGATTAAAATGAAGCTGGAGCAGAACCTCATTGATGCTTATTCTGGTGAAGGTTGGAAAGGTCAGAGGTATGCTTAGTTTTTCCCATACATTTGTGAAGAAAGAAGTTATAGATTGCTGTTGTTTTCATTATTATTTATTTTAAAGATGACTGGTTTAGGTGAGTTGAACTTGGTAGTAGTTTTTTGCTTAATAGATGATTCAGATGGGAAAAAGCTTAGTTTATTCTTCTTCATATTTGAATTTCATCCACAGCCGAGAAAAGATAAAGCCAGAGAAGGAACTGCTGCGTGCAAAGAAGCAGATACTCAAGTGTAAACTTGGAATTCGTGAAGCTATTCGGCAGCTTGATTCTCTTAGTTCAGTCGGATGTATTGAAGGTTCTGTCATTGCTCCAGATGGATCTGTTCACCATGAACATGTAAGATCACTTAACTGCATTTGTTATTCTAATATAAAGGGATATAAATATCTTAACATTAGATTGCTTAGAGACAGGCCATTGCAACCTTTTAGAACTCCCAAGTTTCTGGTTGCTGGATAGTGTGAATTTGTTTGTTCTCTAATTTCACTTTGGAGTAAATACTGGGCCTCAAAATTGATTGGAATTAGGGGATGATATAATAAAGAAACCAATTTTTCCGAGGCAAATAGTAACTCTTTATCTATTTTTGTTTCAAAGCATTATAGAACTTCTATTATTCTGGGTCAAATTCTGGTTTTTCAGAGTATCCTTAAATATCAAACCACTAATATAAGCTGACAACTTGTAATGCAGCTAGGAAGACCCTGAATTGATTGATCATTTTTATACTTTGAATTTCATATTTGTGCTTAGCTTAGTTGCTTTTCTACATCTAGATTATCTGCGCAAAGTGCAAGTTGCGAGAAGCCTTCCCAGATAATGACATTGTACTCTGTGATGGAACATGTAATTGTGCTTTCCACCAAAAATGCCTTGATCCGCCATTGGACACTGAATGCAGTAAGTTCAATCATTTTTATTTGAATTGGTGTACCAAATTATGAATAAGGGGTGTCTTCATTTTTTAATTGATAATCTACAGTACCTCCAGGAGATCAGGGCTGGTTTTGCAGATTTTGTGAATGTAAGATGGAAATAATAGAGGCTATGAATGCTCATATCGGGACCTGCTTCTCTGTTAACAGCAATTGGCAGGTTATTAGAATTTTCTTGAGTTATATAATTTGAATTTCCTGCTGTAATAATGAATTCATTCCATTTTATAGGATATTTTCAAAGAAGAAGCTGCTTTTCCTGATGGTGGGAGTGCATTGTTAAATCAAGAAGAAGATTGGCCTTCAGATGATTCTGAAGATCATGATTATAATCCAGAAAGGAGGGAGAACAGCTGCAGCATCAGTGGGGCGGAAACTGATGATGATGCAAGCAGTTCTACCAGCTTGAGCTGGTCTTCAGATGGTGAAGCTTTTTCCAAATCTATGAGGTGGGAGATGGAGGGCAATGACTATAAGCAGTATTCAGGTGATAGTAGTATAGGTTCTGATGAAAACAGTGATGGGGAAATTATCTGTGGCCGTCGACAGCGAAGGACAGTTGATTATAAGAAGTTATATGCTGTGAGTATATGATACTTCTTTAAAATTAAGGATTAAATCACTTTTTTTTTTTCTTTTTTTTATCATTTTATTTTCTTCCCCGGAGCATTAAGTAATTTCGTGTGCTCATTAAAGACAGTTATCTAGAAACAAGTGGAATTGTGTTACATCTATGCTAGGAGTTCAAATATTGTTATTTTTTTATATCTCCAAAATGAATTCAAATAAAAGTTATATGGGGAGAAAAGGAAAATAAAATAAGAAATGACGAGGGAAACCAATAATAGTGCAATTGAATATGAAAGGAAAAAGAAACAGAACGAAGATTCTGTTGGCACCTCCTCTCTTTTGATTTTAAAACTTAAGTTTCTTGATGTTATTAGGATCAGAGAGCTCTAATTTAGAGTCATTTTTCCTTAAAGATGCTTGGAAACACACCCTTTTGTCATTCATGATTAAATGGCTATAGAACTAATGCCAAAAGACAAGGATGTAGCAAATAAGTATGCCATATTAATCTAAATCTTAAATAGTATCTCATGGGAAATTAGTAGTTGGCTTACTATTTCTCATACAGCTCTTTTATTTCAATGGATGCCTAATATTTTGCTGTATAGTAAAATATGAGTTTTTCTTGTTTCTTTGTGATAGGAAATGTTTGGAAAGGATGCTTTGGCATATGAGCAGGTTAGTGAAGATGAAGATTGGGGTCCTGCAAAGAGAAGACGGAGAGAAAAGGAGTCAGATGCGGTGAACACCCTTATGACTTTGTATGGAAGTGAGGAAAAATGCCCAAATGTTAAAGCCATAGAAGTGAAGGAGAAACTTTCTTCTGATGCAAAAATTAGGAGGCCATTCTTCAGAATTCCTCCCAATGCAGTTGAGGTAATATACAATTTGATTCTTCACACAAACTGAGCACTTTTCAGTCCTAATTATTTTGAGGTAATGTTTTCAGCACTATGCTTAATCATCCTTTCCCTTGTCTGCTTCTCCAGAAGCTTCGCCAAGTGTTTGCTGAGAATGAACTTCCCTCTAGAACTGTCAAGGACAACCTTTCCAAAGAGTTGGGTCTTGAACGTGAGAAGGTAATAACCTAAGCTATCAGGATGAAAGTACTAAAAAGTAGTTCTGTGACAGTCGTTCTTAGATCAAATACTTCTTAAGCAAGTTTTTTTGAATATTTGACATGGTAAATTGACTTATTTTGTATTCCTTAAAAGCAGGCAATACTGTTTCTTTTTCATGCATGTGTTGCATTGGTTGCATGAGTTCAATATTGGTAGTTTTTCTATTCTAACAAAACCATTTTCATCCAACATCTTGGAGTACATGGAGCTTAGTTGCCTGATCCAATTATATTCAGTGCAATTAAACTATTATATTTAGTATGGACTGTCATGAATTGGGTGAGCATCACATGATTGGAGAGAATTATTAATTAAGATGGCAAGTGGTTGTAGGAAGTGGCAAAATTGCAAAGGAAAATCGATCAGTGGTGGATAGCATCATATTCTGGATTAGCTCACCAGAAACTGTGTTGTATTCTGATAGCCCTTTATTTGTTGCAATATTTATTTATTTTTAATCTTAGTTGCAATTTGCAGGTTAACAAATGGTTTAAAAATGCAAGATACATTGCGCTAAAAACAAGAAAGGTGAGATGATATTTCATGTTCTTCAATTGCTAATGTTTCTCTTGTTCTTTGTAGCATCAGCTCATCTCCTTATTCATAGTAATTAGCTTTTCATATAATATCATCCCTTTTGCAAAAAGAATGAAATATGATGCACTTTATTTTGCAAATAATCTTCAGAACTGATGAAAAAGATGATACTTTCCACTTTCTTCTTTATATTTATTAATTACTTTTGTTCTTTTTTGTGTAATTTGCACTGTAGGCAGGACTTTTTTATTTTTGATTTGATAAATCATAGGTAGATTGAACTGGTAGCTTTAGGATTTTTCCTATGGGTAGAATTTTAGGTTTGTGAGTTTTTCTTTTTTTCTTTTTTTAACTATGAGTTCTCTTGCACAATAGGTAGAGGAAGGAAACCAAGTTCATTATGCTCCTAAAATCTCCAATGAACCGAGATTGAAAGATGCCTTAAAAGAAAATGTGTTATGCACACCAAAGAATGTGAAGAGGATCAAACAGAGAAAGGATTCAAAATCGCTGAGCAGTGGCTTGAAGAAAAATCAACACAAAAGACCTTTAGAATCACCTGCAAATAGCAATCAGGTATGCTTCAGCTAAATTCCTGGTTCTTTCTCTATTTCCTGCTCTTTCTTTCTTTCATTTTACCTCTTTCTGCAAATTGGAAGTAGCTTTAGGTGGTTGGTATTATGTAGGATCACTCGAGTTAGGGTTGACTAAGTAGACTGAGTAAAAGTTTGCATCATAAACTGATTGAAATTATTCGGTGGTGTCCAAAGTAAAAGTTCAAAAGATACTCCTGGTACTGGGTGAAGTATGTCTCTCAAATTAGACATTCACCCATGGTGCAGATCTTTTTTTCCCCACCTCAATATTTGATATTATATTGTGAAGCTGTCAGATATCATTTTCTACACGCAACACCTGATCTTAAGATGAAAAAAAAAAAAATTCTTTAAATGCCATGCAACTGAAATGGGGATGCAATTGATACTGTGCGACATTTTCCATATAGAAGATTTAAAACATAAGAACGGGTTGTTCGTGATTAATCAAGATTCTAGTAATGATGCTGATTTGGTTGGTTTTATATGTAACTTGGGCTTGTATTGGTTTAGGGTTTCTAGTCATACAGAACCATTGAAGTGCAGTTA